GCAGAGATGGATGTAGGAGATTTCAGCTGTACAATGTCTGAAGTTAGAGACAAGAAACACAGATTTATTGTAAGCAGCATACTTCATAATATGAAATTAAGCAGTTGTACTTGCTTGGAGGCAGCAGAGCTTTGGTAGTTCACATTTCACATCTATACAGAAAATACCATTGACGAGTCATAATGGGTCAGATGTAGTAAATATTGCGACCTGCTATTTAAAGCGCCATGATGAGTCGTGTTACATCCCTGATAATGCATGTGCATCTTACAGGGGGAATGATAACGTTATCAGCCATAACACACACACACACACACAGTAATCTTGCTCTCCATGCACAACATATTTACATGGCTGTAAAACCCTCCTCTGTTCCCTTCACATTATGTGTCTTTTATGGGAGCAGTGCAGGCTGGGTAAATGTCAAAACTGATGAAGATACAAACTGAACTGATTGATTATTTTAACTGACTGCTGTCGTTTACTGAACCACAGTCTGTAGGCTACAGAACATAGTGACATGTTGTCGGCCATGAATTTGAGACGAGAGTGTGGATTTGAAGCCTGGAGTTTGAGTTTATCACTTGGCAGTTTGTTTTTGAGCCATGAAATCCAATTGTGTGCTGCAGGGTGGAGCTAAGAGGACTGAAGCTTACACAGCCCTCAGTATATTTCTAATGCAGCAACCTCTTTCAAAGACGTAGATTTCAGGAATTGAAGTTTAGATTCTAATGGAGAGAAAATAAAAATGCATATTCCATACAGATGGGATTATTTCATGATTTATTTGTCAAACATGAGAGAAAAGTCAATATGTTTGGATTTTGAACAAAAATTACTTTTGATGATGTCCCCTCGGTCTGTGGGAAATTATTATAAAGTTTATAATTATAGCTTTTTCCACGAATCAACTGTCCCTTGCCAAGCCCCGCCCGTTGAACGCTATGATTGGCCAAGCAACAGACTGACTCAACAGCAGCTGAGCATGTGAGTCAAAGCTGAGCAACTAATACAAAGCAACTTATTGACACGACTATGTAGCCATTATCCAACGGACTCCACAAGGAATGGAAGCACATGCTTGAATGTCCTGGCCGGGACAATGTGAATTGGTCACTCGGTTATCACAGACATGCAAGTGAAAACTAAAATGAGCAAATGATAGGATGAGATCCAGGCTGGTGACCAAGCACCAAATGTCTTTCACAACATTTGCTGATGATGTGATGCTGCCGGTCAGAGTGAGAATCTGTTGAACCATAAGAGGGTTTTTTTCTCAAGACAACCACAAAATGAAGAATATGAATAAAGGGATTACTAACGATAAGAGGTGCTATAGATCTTTACGCTGGACCGTATCATTTGAGCCCAGCTGGAAACTGGAAACTGAAGTTTCTGTCCAAATCCTGTGGCCTGAGGAATGTTTGTGAGGCTGGAAATCCAAAGAAATAATTCGGCAACAAATGTTTTTTTGCAGCCAGTTTAAACGGAGCTGTTAAGTGAGAAATTGAGCAAGACCTGACCCGAAGGCAGCGCCACAGAGGCTAAAGTCACCCATGTACACGAGTCATGGCTTCAGCCTTGGCTCTTTGTTCCTGTGGTTCAGCCTGAAGTGTTTTTGACCCCCAAACGTTTGTCACTGATGCAGCTCAGCCTCCTCTCCTGCCTGCCTGAAGTAATATGTAAACGACATTAATTCAACATAGTGGTGTGGTGGTGATGCATGGTGTAACTGATTCATTTAAGATTATCAGGGTGGAAACCACAGACCCCATTTGTTCCAGACGTAACTCTCCTAACAACAGTTTGATGAATTGACATAAAATTGTCTGCATGCATTTTGTGTTTCCCAATTCACCGTGGTGATGCCCGTACCACCTAGAGGCTGACCTTTGTGGTTTTGAGTGAAATATCTTCAACGATGATTGGATCAATTGCCATGACATTTGGTAAAGACATTCACATTCCCCTACGGATGAAATCTTGCAACTTTAGTTATCACTTCACTTTGCATATTGTGCCATCATTAGGTGAACATTTTATTTTGTTTAAAAATGTGTTTTGTTTATGGGCAAATACCTGCAAAACTAATAACTTCCCATCTGGTATTCCCGTTAACATGAATCATCTGGTTGCATAATGCCAGAGCTGTCATCATTACACAAACTAGTATTCTGTAATCTCGGTATTATATTATTCTGACAATATCCTGACAAGCCAAGTGAAGGGAGCTCTACAATAAGAGAACCATTAACAAAACGTCCCCCCTCCTCCTTGGGTTTTAGTTTCAGCTGGCTTTTGGTGAACGTGTTCATAGAAACTCCGTCGTCCCAGCAGACCCGATCGTCGTGTGATGTTGACTCGGCAGTAGTCTGTGTCTGTTCAGCACCCCCGAGGTTACACAGGAAGCGTTCAAAGATTCCCTCCCTCCCGCCCTCCCACTGCCTGCTACCCTTCCTCCTCTTTTCCGGATACGTCTGCTGTCGTTTTCTTGCTGTAATAAAATAGTTTTGCTCAAATATTGTTACACTAATAGGTTAAACACATTTTAATGAACAGGAACAACGTAATAATAAGTGTCAACAAGGTTAGTCTGCAGTTTATTAGCACTTATCTGGGGTAATGTAACACCACCCCTCCATTGTAATTACATGGCTCATTGATAATTATGCTGCCAGTGCAGTCTGATCACCTCCTAGACACGAGACAACAACAAATATTGAGCACTTGGCCCATATTGATACCATGACGTTGTCAATGCCAAGATAAGATTAAAGGTCTGTGTGTCACCCATTAGAACCATCTGCAGTTCGATAGTGTTTTACTTACTACAAGTGCTTCTGAGTTTCTTAGATAAACACTTATGCGACGCATCAACCGTTAAATAGTGCTGTCTAACAGGAAGGGAAAGTAATGGGGTGGTGTTGCATAAGAAACGAGCAGTGTCATTTTTCATTTTGTGCTTTCAGTGTGAACAGGTGTATGACAGGACATGAAAAATTAGGAACCAAGTTGGGAAGCTTATGACAAATGCAGCACTATAGGAGGCAGGCTTTGACACGAAGCTATTCTGCAGTAAGTCAGCGTTTGTGGTCGTGTTGTTGCGTGCTGCAGGCTCCCCGGGCTGAACTCTTTCTTTCTTTCTTTCTTTCTTTCTTTCTTTCCCCCCCCCATGCTGAGCCGCGGCTGCTGTTCTCTTTAAAGAGACTATGGGAAGCTACTGGAATGATTTCAGTGTTGGCTACGGCTGCAGTCGATCCCCAGAGACTCGCTCTGCGGGGAAATATCATCTGTGTTTGGTCTCATGAGCACATACATGTTGGAGATGTGTTACCGTGGCAGGCCCACTGTAAACAATTTCCTATCTTAGCTTCAGGAGACCAGGGTGTGCAGCTGGGTATTCACTGGCCAAAATATGTCCTTAACATTGATAGCTTAGCCAAAGCTGTGATTTCCAGAAAGTTGGCAACAGTGTGTGAATTTAAATGAAAATGCAATATTAATACAACATTTATTCATTATTAGTACAACAATGTTTGAAAACATATTCCTTAAAGTAAAATATAGAAAAAATGTGTAAAACACCATTCATCAAATGCATCCTAAAGCTAATCTTCTCCCCTCAATATTCAATGTTTCATATCTAGCTGCATATTGGTGTACAGCAACGAGCATCATTGAACACAACAGCTGTGCACACGGCTCGCAAGCAGGTGCCAAAGTTTTTGGATGTTCTGGATCCTCTGTGCGCCATGCATCACTCACAAGTCTGCCACACAGATAAAACAGTCTGCTTAAACTGCAGCATCAGTGATTTATTTGTTGAATATAAAAAAAAAGTTTGTTACTGCTGTTGTTGATGAACACATCTGGGCTGGTGTTTTTCAGTGTAAGAGGCTGGAGGGTGATCGGAGTTTCACTCTGCCACTTCTTCCTCATGAGAATTGGGTCTGTATTTGATTTGTCACTAGATTGTGTCGCTGTAAACCGACCAGGTTGTCTTTGCATTCTTTGTCAAAATCAACATTTGTCTGTTTTTCGCAGACAAATGTTTGTATCAAAGCTACATTTTAAACAATATATAGCATGTCAAGTGCTCACTGAAACCCATATGCTGCTGATGTTTTCCCCTATTGCGTTTGTTTTGCCCATTTGTAGTGCTTGCGGCCTTTTCTTTGGCGCAGCATGTCCCCGCCAGTGAGACAAACAAGGGCAGCACCACAGTGACATAAGTGTCATGGAAACTAGCAGGGTGGCCTGCTGATAGATTTACAATAGCTCTTTTTTTGCTCTGTTCTGTTTTCTTTTCTCTTCTTAACTTGATGCGTACTAAGATAATGGAGACAGGAAATTAAAAGTAGTGATGAAATGGTGTGTGTGTGTGTGTGTGTGTGTGTGAGTGAGTGAGAGCAGGAAGATGACAAAGGATGGACGAACAAAGGGAAGGAAGATGTAGACATTATGTTCTGACTCTCTAGTAATAGATGTGTGGTTTTAAGTCAGAGTTCACAGATTGTAATCATGAGTGTCCTCAGTGGGAGCTTCAATCTGACCTTAACAGTAGTAGTACCTTCTATGTACATGTCCTATACAGTGCCGCACTGCAGCCCTGCTTGGTAATCACAGATGTCTGTGTCACAGCATGGATCCATCTTATGAAGGCTCTGCCGTGTGCCACAACGTAAATGCCACACTGTGAATTGAGCCGAGCTGAGGAGAGAGCCATGAAATGACTGCTGTTCAGTCATTATAGGTCAACGAGCTCCAAGACTCAGATGTCAGCACCTTAAAGCTGTTGTGTCCTTCTTTTTTACTTCCTGGCATTAGTGCTGAGATAAGCAGGATGAGTCCTGCAAATGTCAACGCGATGTGAATGCCAACGGTCCTTCAGTATGAATTGGCTCTGATCTAGATTGTGCCAACAATGGACGTCTCTCCCTCACATGCACCAGTGTGATCAATCGTGCTGACGCAACTCCTTTTTCTTTGCTTTTCCACAGGATTTGGTATCCGAGTGCACGCTGGCCACAGACCAGCAGTGCAGTGGAGCAGGGAGCTGTCTGCGGTGCTGAATTCATCAGCTAACAGAAAATCCCCCAGTGCACACTCATGTGCTTGGGCCGCTCCTGATAGCTCCCATTCCTAGCAGTAACTGACCACCACCTCCACATCCAAGATGGACGACGACACGCGCTACAGAGACGGGCGCTCAGACTTTGTCCGCGGCGCCAAGGACATCGCCAAAGTGGCCAAAAAACAGGTCGGCAAGAAGATGGGACGCGGCGCGGACAAAGTGGCCGACGAGTACACCAAGCGCTCCTACAAACGCTTTGAGGAGGAAGATGATGATGAAGACTACGCCGGCGTGCCAGGCAACGACGGCGGGTATTATCGCAATGACAGCCGGGCCAATGACGACGAAGGTCACAGCGACTCCACTGAAGGACATGACGAGGACGACGAGATCTATGAAGGTGAGTACCAGGGGATCCCGAGGGCTGACTCGGGCAAGGCCGGCGGCATGGATGGGGTGACGGACGCCCAGGCGCCGCAGTTAAGGGATCTGTCGGCCTACGAGGCCGAGAGGAGGAAAGACCAGGAGGAGCTGGCCCAGCAGTACGAGACCATCCTGCAGGAGTGCGGCCACGGGAAGTTCCAGTGGACGCTCTACTTTGTCCTGGGGCTGGCGTTGATGGCGGATGGCGTGGAGATCTTTGTGGTCGGCTTCGTGCTGCCCAGCGCAGAGAAGGACATGTGTCTATCTGAGCCCAACAAGGGCATGCTGGGTAAGATTTCCACATATTTTGCTTCTTATTTGAATGAAAAACTTTAAGATGGTAGTCATAGCAGTACCAACATAGTCTCGTGTTTCTGTCCACTCAGCAACTGTTTCCAACTCATCTGCTGTCTTCTGTGCCCTTTCTCTGTTTGTTTTCGACTCCGTTCCTCCTTTGGGAGTTTATGCCACCACTTCACATTTCATCTCTGCCTTATCTTAGCAGTTACCTTTGCAGTTTATCCCCCAGTAATTGCTTTTCTACAGCCATAGTTGGCAGAGGAACTACAGCTATTTAAGATTCAACTGCCCGTGCAGACTCTGAACAGCCGTAGAATTCTAATCGAACCCTTCAGCCTCTCCGTTCTCTGCTTCAGTGTGTATTATGTGTATCTCAGGTTGTGAAGGTGATTGTGGGCATTTTTTATTAAAATTGTTTTAAATGCCAATGTACTCCATTTGTCTTCCTCCTGTTTGCCTCCTCATAGTTTGTGCGGCATGTCTTTCGCTTTGCCCACTTCACAGCATACAGAAACACAGACCTCGTCGTGGTCGTTTTCCTATCCTCAGGGCCAATGTCCAATCAGTCCACACCCTGCCTCGCCATCTGTCATTGGCTGCCCAGCAAGACCACCATGAACAAGGGCCAGAGGTCTCTCAGAGATTACAAATTCAAACGCATTGTTCAAATAACATAAATAACTTATAAAATATGTATTTAACAAGCGTGTCAGGAGATACAAAGAGAAACATCTTCCCCATAGAGACACCCAGAGAGGGATTTAGTTTTATTCCAGTGGATGAAATATAGATTGACATCAGTGAGATATTCTTGTCCAGATTTGTTGGACATTAATGCGACATTTTCACAGCATGCAAAGCTCACACCCATTCTTTGGTGCGTTGTTGAAAGAAGAAAGGATTCGGGTAAAATTCAGTAAATGTCCTTATATGCTAAACATAGCAGCAGGCTAATACAAACGGACATCATCTGCAAATACATTGATTTTGATCGTCTCATTCAGAGGCTGCTCAATCCACATCATCCCACTTAAAAAAAAGGATTGCAGTCGACGTGGTCTCAAATGTGCATTCACGTTATCTAGTTTTGATGAGATCTGATGACATCATTTCCAGTGCTCTCACGGGGTTTTGACTGTACAGCTGTGCTGCTGACACGTGACTGAACATTGTCCCCCTGCAGATGGGGATGCCTGTGTATTGAGCGTCCGTGCTGTTGGATAATGGAACGGTGGCCCTCATGCAACCCTAACTATCGCCATCCTCTGACAGATCGATTCAGTCTGATTGCTTTCTTTTTTCAAAAGGTCACAAGTTTAGATTTTCTTTTGCTGATCAAGTACAGTGTGCTTGTTTTCAGCTCAAGTGCAAGCTGGTCAGTGAGCTGCTGCACTGTATCAGTGGAGGGAGTTACAATGGCTATACTCCTATAATTGTAATACGTACTGTGCAGTGTTCTATCTGTTTTAAGTGAAGTAGAGTTTTACGTAAACACACAAACATTTGGCAGGCATCCATGCCTTTAATTGGTTACTGGGATGTGTGATTTTTCCCGGTGGTCCATGCACGGCACAAGGTATGGATTGCAGTGCCGACATGTTCGGTGGCTTGTGTGTGTGTGTGTGTGTCTGTGTGTGTGAGCGAGTATGTCTGTCTGCTCGTACATCCATAACAATTTTGACTGTGTGTGCATGTGGGCCATCTTTGAAATGTGTGAGTGAGTGTTTGTCCATTACAATGGTGACAAAATAAAGCAACAGAGGCAGCAAGAATAGCACTGTGCAAAGACACTCCAGTGAAAGACCATTCAGGAAGGAATAAATGAAGCAAAGAGAGAGAAAAAATTCAAGTTCAAAGTTTGCAGCCGCCAAATAAAACAGTTTTTATAAAAAGTAGTAAAATATTTCCCTCTGTAATGTAGCAGAGTAACAGAATTACCTATTCCTATAAGATGGAAACATTTTCTACTCTGTTACTTCCAGCTTCTCTCCCTCCCTCCCTTCTATCTCTCTCCCTCCCCTCTCTCTGCTGGTTTTGTGTCATGCCAGTAGGGAGCCAGTAGGGAGACACGACCGGCCCCCTGATTCCCTCCCCTCTCCCTGTTACGCAACACGCCTGACTCATTCTACAGAGCCTCCTTTGCTCATGCCTCTCTGCATCCCATGATTCCTAGTGTCCTCTTCCCCAACCCCCCATCCTCACCCTCTTCTTCTTCTTCTTCTTCTTCCGCACAAGGTCCATATAGAGCTTCCCTTTGCCGTCATAGTGCCAGTAACTTTAACCGGACGCACTGTGGTGGAATCATGTATTGTGTGTGTGTGCGTCTGTACTGTATTGTGTGTGCGGTGTGGGACAGATAGCGGCTGCACATGTGTGAGGGTTAATCGCCTGCAGAATATTAACTCCCTCACAGCAGAGAGCATTCAGATGTAGGCAGAGAAGGATTCAGAGGCAAGTTCGACAAATAAAAACCTTCATCCACATAAACAAATTTTCTCTCATGGCCTTTTTGACTTTCTTAGATGTGCTGTAAGTATGTATCACAGATCCCATATTCATTGCATGTTCCACCATTGCAGAAAAGAAGGAAATAAAAAGCAGAACAAGCACAGAGAGGCTTTGAAATGACAGCAGTGATGCCTGCGTGGTGCAGCAGTTTTTTTCCCACAATGAGCTGGAGGAGACACTTTCCCAGGCAGCAGAGAAGCGCAGAGTGGTTGTCATTGATTTGTCCTTGTTGTGAAGCTGCAGAGGTTGCATCTGCAGCTTTTTGCCATAATGGGAAAAAGAAAGCGTGGTTTGTTCCGTGCAGCAGCTCTGGAGGGAGGTTTCTAGAAAAGCGCTGGAAAAGTACTTTAATGTCAAGATTATTTCACACTGTCGAGCCTTCGGTGTGCTCTGCCTGTTGTGACTATTTTGTTGCGTTAGGTTTTTAAGAACAAAGGATGAAGGAGCCTGCAGGCCGCAGGTACTCTTCTGCTGCGAGCTTCTTACTGCGCACGCGCATCAGAAGAATGAGCTAGATCCGGTTCAAATTAAAACAATATTTAATGTACTACACAAAGTTCACTTACAAACTGAATTAACTATCAATAGTAATGTTCTCGAGAGCAGAGACCACATACACGCATCTCCTCACAGTCCGGCGCGGCCAGTGAGCTGAAAATGAGAGCTGCAGTGATCTGAGGTAAACTCCCTAAAACATTGTCTTTTGTATCCCCTGAGAGTCGGAAAGTGTCCGATACCGTCATAAAATGTGTGAATGACCCTCCGTGGCGATTAGTGATTGGCTTCATTTGAATTCTGTCCCCTCCCATTATCGATCCCTTATCAAATAATAATACCTACAGTGACTATACTTCTATGATTTAATACATTCAATGAGTTAATATACTGTAACATATAATATCCTCTATAAGTAAGAATATTGTAAACCTATAATACATTCCATGTGGAAACATATTGTGACTAACATATTTATTATTGTAACACTTCTACTCACCACTAGGGGTGTTATTAAATCCTACTAATAATGCGTTTAATACTGAAATTCTCCACAGTTGACAAAGGAAAAAATATCTGTATACCGTCCTTCTGTTTGATATTCTGCTGTAGATTGCAGCTGTAATATTTGCTCTCTGCATTGCGCCTCTAAGCAATAGCTTCTTTGACAAAGCTATTGCACAGAAATATTTGTGTATCATAATGTCTCCTTGGCATTTTAATGAACATAGAATAAAGAGCTGAGATCAATGAAGGACGACAGATGTGATGGGAGAGGACTACTTGTGTCAGTTTGATTTATTAGCAGCTGGGAGACGTTGGCAGAGGAAAATGTAAACGTTTAGTCAAATTTGATTTTGATGGAAATGATTGTCAGAAATGAATTAAGCTTGGATATTAGCATTCAGCTAACATCTGAAAAGAAATATGCAAGCCATCAGTTGACGGCTGGATTAATTTTTTTCCCTCTCTGTTGGAAGTAATGTTCTGAATATACAACTTTAAAATTCTGAGCTTTTTCTCTGAACATGAAACGGCTCCATAATAACAAACTGACGACTCACAGATACTCTTATCCTGAGTAACCGACTATAATAAAGCCTGTTAATAGAATACAAACCTAGATCTACACTGCATGCAGAACAAGAGCTTTCTTCTCTAAAATGACGACAAACAGTGAAGTGAGTGTTGCACTACCATTGAAGGTGAATTGAGGGTGTCATTTCTGACCATGTGCTAAATAGAGCTTTATGTATGTATGCAGGTGATTTGAAGGTGTGTTGTAAAACCTGCATTCACATCACATCGTAGTGCAGCCCTCACTGTCACAGGGCGAGGCAGCCGCTGCTTTCAGCGGTTAGCAGTGAGGAGTGTGATGGCTGACTGGCCAAGTCAACTGATGAGGGCGTGTGTTCTCCTCGGGTGGTGACGAGCCTCGGCCTCCCGGCTCATTCAAAGAGCCCTGTGCGCTCTGGCAGAAAGGGAAAACTGGCTATTAATAGTGCCCCCCTGCCCTCTCCCTCCCTCGCTCATGAACACAGACACACAACCCTGCACTGGCACACACTTTCTCTTTCCATGTTCATGCACACACACACCCACACACACACACACACACACACTGCCCAGCAGCCTTTGGGATCTCTGTCACAGGGCAGACTGGCCAACGTCCTGCTCCTCCTTTCTTTTTTTTCACACTCTCTCTCTCTCTCTCTCTCCCCCCACTTCCTCCCCAGAGTGATGAGGTACTCGGCTGACTGAAGACTCCTGCTTCTCCTCTCTCTCGTCATTTCACTCCCCATCCTGCTCAACTCTCTCTCTCTCTTTCTCTTTCGAATACCACAACATATGAATTATTAAAGAATGGACTAGACTGAGATATTTGTGTGTGAGATGCACATCCCCAACCCCTTCAATGTGAAGCAAATACTGCAACGAATGCCTCGGGGGCTTAACAAACATCCACCAACAGGAAACATATTTAACTGAACAAAATGCACAATCTAAGGAGTCAAATTGTCAAATAAATACAACATGAATCAGTGGTCGACAGCATCACTGCTGCTGGATGTTTTAAAGTGCAGAAATCCTCATTGTCGGCAGAACAAATATGTCACCCTCAAACCTCATTATGGGCTTTGAATGTTCTTACCGCTTTTCACAACACTGATAACAAATGCAAATGCCAGATGTACACTGTACACTCAAAATACAGCAGCTTAGTACTCTGGAGTACAAAAGATTGTACTGTTGCTCAGAAGTTAGCGACAGTTGCTTTTTTAAACATCCAGCAGTTGGGGGACCACATCAGTGTTAATTTGGAGTCAAAAGTAAGTTCAATAATCACTCTCCTTTTAGCGCTCATAGGGAAATATCTGCCTATTTACCTGCTTAATGCTCCACCATGTTCACTGGCTAGCTACTAACTTTTCTGTCTGCTGTTTGGTGCTGAGCAGTACAGTTTTAATGGCTGTAGAGAGTGAACTAAAACAATGGGCTGAAAGCCGATGAAGCCCACAGAGTTAAAGGGAAACTGCAGAGTTGGGTGATAATTCTTTGTGGGTTCATCACCTACTGCCACATACAAGTTAGTTTCTAAGACTACAGAAACTGCTTTGTACCTTTTTTGTGGTGATCATTCGGTACAAGTCTCAAGAGAGCCCATTATGTTCCTGTGTAGGACGTCTGTGTAAGATGTAAAAACTGTAAAGTCACAAACTGCTTTGCCTTTGCATATTGATAACCGCACGCTTTTGCTTCATCATCTCCTGATGAATAAAGAACAGTCTCTGGACAGTTTCTGTTGTCTTACAAGACGGTACTTTAATACTTTATTAGAACTGGTGTCGGGACTCCACACATCAGAGGCTGCAGAGGGTCTGCTAGATAACTCCTCCTCATCGCACCCATGAGAACAAGGTCATATAGAGGGGTGTGTATGGCTCTTCTCTGGCTATCTTCTCCAAACACCAGAATCCAGTCATAAACAATTACCAACAAGCATACACCCGAAGCTGTATGCTGTTCTCTGCTACAACTCCCAATCAATTATTTTGCCCCTCAGTTAAATGAGATAAATTGGGACATGTTTTATCCTTGAGCCAGATGCAGCTGCTAACAAGCCACGCAGATGGAGAGACCTGAGCCGGCTGTTTGTGACGACAGAGGGAGATTGGGGAGGGGGGGAGAGATAGTGATCCTGTTGCAGTGAGTGAAAAGGGTGACCGGTCATCCCAGCAGATTCCCAGACCTCAGACTTTAGAAGATGCACTTTAAGGCCCATCCCGGTCACCATGGCTGTTTTTCTGTCTGCCTGATCGTCACCAAATCTTGCTGCATTGCGACGACGGCTATTGAGCCCAGTCGTCATCACCGTCAGCCTGCCAGGGCGAAACGCGTGCAGACACAGACAAAGTAGTAGTACACACTTACAGTACATGGGAGTATTGACACAGACTCGCAGGAGTAAACACACGCAGATGTGGGATTACACACCTGCTTTGCACACAAAGAATCCCCTGCAATCAATCAAACAAGGGAATGAAAGTCACCTTCTTCCCCGATTCAGCACTGCAGTGTTGACACAGAAACAGACAGACAGACAGAGGAGAGCCAGAGGGAACGAGAGAATGAGTCACAAACACACACTGCTGTCAATGCATTCAAAGGTCTTTTCATCCAAAGTAAAAGGGAAACCCCTCTTCATATTGTACCACGGCAAGAACATCCGTCCTCAGTGCTAAACTCTGCTTTTATTGGTCATATCAACAAGAGTCTACAGCTAGCTAGCTAATATTTTAATTGTGTTCGATTTCATCATCCCAGCAGCTAGCTTGTTAGACTGCGTGATGGATGATCTTAGCTGAGCCAACTGATCAGCTTAAAGCCCATGTAGGCGTCCTCTTTTGTTTTCTCTCTTAAATAAAAGACCCCATGATTGCTTATCCGTCGGGTTCATTCACACCATTCAGTGGTAAAGAAGCATCTTGTGCCCTCATTGTCGCGGCTCGTCTCCTTGAATGTTGGTGCTTTTAAGCAAAAGGCAAGCTGGTCGTTACAAACAGGCTGTGACAATGCAGAATGAAACATATTGCTGTGCAATTTAACCACCACACAACTTATTTTATTTTATGTAAAAGTGACTTGTACAGTTTAAAACATAAATGTCACCACTTGATACACTGCAATAGCTTCAAATCTGTTGTCCCTTGGCAGGTCAAAACACTAACGGCACATGGCTGTTAAGGTAAGGGAAAGAACTTGGTCAAGAAAACCTAAAGTCCAATGTTGTATCGTCCCCTCCATCCACCCCGACCTCCTTAGTCACTCAATAATAACGCCACCGGACTTATAACTTACCAATTACTACGACTGCTAGAGGGCTTCCTCACTTCAGTGTAAACATATATCTTTTTGGGGCATTTAATTAAACAACTCAATGTCTCGCAGATATTGTAGATGGCGAGAATAAAATTTAAAAATTTAAAAATAAACATTGGTATCTGACAAGTGTACCTTATTGGCCCAGGACGTCGATCGTCAAACTGATTTTAAATCCACAGAATCGACTTGTGGCCTAGACTTTGGTACAGTATGATGAGCAGTGAAACAGTGGGCTGTGTTGATTATCCAATCAGAATGAAGTATTTGACAAAGCTGCGGGAGATGCATGCTGGACACGCTGGGTTTAATTTGCCCATTTAATAAAAAAAACATATAACATTTAATCCAAGCTTTTTTTACATCCAGAAAACTGAGAGTGACATTTAAATGCAGATGTCAAGATGAGACACCGGCCTCACCACCACCCATAACTGTGTCACTGCAGGCTCAGGGACCGTGGAGACTGTTGACAGGATGTCAATAAGGCAGCGATTGCTAGGGGGGGGGGGGGGGGGTGTGTGGGGGGGGGGGTGGGTGTGTGTGAGAGAGAGAGATGGAGCAGCATGTCTCAGTCAGCTAGAGAGACAGGCAGAGAGAAAGAGCCTGGCTTGGATAAGCACATGGGATGTGAGTCATGTTAGCATCTCAAATCACAAGACTGGGTTGACAACGTTACCGTTTGTTTCTGCTATCTGGCGGTGACTTCCTGACGCGAGAGAGAACGACTTTCTACTTGATATTCAGTCTGTATGTGTCAAATGAGATGATACTGGAGGAAAAAAAGATGTTTTGGTGCAAAAAAACAGAAGTAGTTGGGAGGTATCTCTGATTACTGCTCTTCTGTTACTTTTAATTGATATGTTAGGAATAGGTTGACATTTTGCGATATATGCTTCTTCATTGTTTTGCCTAGAGTTAGATGAGGAGATCGATTGACCCAATGCCTCTCGCGTGATTACGAATGCCACTGCTTTTATTGCCAAGACCTGTGTAGCACTCAAACGCCAGGATTAGCCAGGCGTCCATGCTTCATGAGGTACCGCTAACCTGATTTGTTACGATCCAGTGTCCTGACCACTTTATCTCATATTTGTTCAATCTGTACACAAACAACAAGGCCAAACAACAAGTTGTTGGAGCTACATGTTGGTGAGCGCAGGGTGCACTCTTTTTTTAGATTCATGCTTACTTGAGCTTACAGCCTCTGGACTCTCGCTCCATACTTAACTGACAATTATTTTTAGTTTTGAAAAGTGCTATACAAAAAGTGTCATTATTATGATTATTATGATCTTGACTCCCACCACCTATGCTGTGTTAGTATATAGTTGAGATGATTATGGTGTACTTCTCTCTGATTTGTGCTTAATGAAAAATACTTCAGCAGTCCAATGGAGCCAAATGAGCTAATTTACTCGACATTGGAAATCTAATGAGAGTGGAAGTGAGGACTGGAAATAATATCAATGAGTTTATTGATGAATAATAACTCATTATCATGTCCTTTGTCTCTTCCCATCATGCTGCCCTGCCATTACTCTCTCCTCTTTCTTATCCACCAACTCTTCCCTCTCTCTTCCGCTGCTTTGTTTCCCTCCTCCTCCCTCCAGGTCTGATCGTGTACCTGGGGATGATGGTCGGGGCCTTCGTGTGGGGCGGCCTGGCCGATCGGATTGGCCGACGGCAGACCCTCCTCATCTCCCTCTCCATCAACAGCGTGTTTGCCTTCTTCTCGTCCTTCGTCCAGGGCTACGTCTCCTTCCTCTTCTGCCGCCTGGCCTCTGGTGTGGGGTAAGAAGGCCGATGAGTCACACAGTCACAGCAGCCAGAGCTGGGAGTGAGACGGTCACGACCGCTGTGGTACATCAGTCGACTTGACGGGCAGAGCAGGGCCACATTTCAAGGAACAGATACAAACACTGAGCTCATATTGCTGTTGAAGGAAAACCTCCCTCAGCTACTTGGAGGTCTGTGAGGTTTTTCTGCATTTTAGGAGCTATTTTAGCAATTAAGTGTTGGAATGTGCTTTTCGTTGTTCCCATTTCCTTTAAACTGTTTTACTTGAGGAAGTAGTTTTCTTCACTGAAGTCAACAGCCTCCACACAATGAGCCGGATAGAAGTTGGCTGTAAAGGCATATAAACGAAGCTACTGGAACACTCCTTATCTGAAATTAATCATTTGTGGCTTCCTTGCATCGGGTCTCTTCGGGCTATTAGCATATTTTTTAGTTTTAGCTACCTAATAAATATTTATTTACGATATCATGTTGTTTAGGTTTTGTCTGTTATTTATAGAAGAACTGAAAACACATCACCAAAAAAAGGGAACCTAGAATACACTGCACTTTTCACATGTACTATTTAGGTTACTGTGTGTGGTGTTGATTTAGGGATGGCAATATCAGCTGGTCCACCAATTTGGATCAGACTGAAATGTCTAAACTAATATTGGATGTATTTCCATGACATTTTGTACAGACATTTTTCCCCCTAAGAGAATGAATCTTAGCGCCTTTGTTGATCCTCTTGACTTCTGCTCCTCTCCGGCACCATGAAGTTTATAGTTTTGTATATTTTGAATAATATGGAATTTCTTTATGTCTACCACAAACTTTGCGCTAAATTGACCTGTCAATTGTAGTTTGCTGTAGTTTGTGTTGATGTATGTAACCATACTAATGCACTAAATTTGCCTGTATGGTACACATGGCAAACATCGTCTGTCTAGTATCAGCTTGTTAGCAATGTCAGTGTGAACTACACACTGGGACTACAGATGAAAAATAGCCTTTTGGCTAACTCTGGCGCATTTGCAGAAATGGTTTTATTAATGTGCACTGTCCCGTTCAAATAAACCAATAAAATAAATGAACATGTTAGCTTGCTGACATTAGCTTTGAGCTTAAAGCACTGCTGTGTGCCAGCTAGCTGAAGACTCTTGTTGATATGACCACTAGGAGGCATCGAAGTCAGACATTCAAATTCATCAGACAATGGCTTTAAGTACAACAACAGTGAAATCAGACGATTAAAAACCAAGTTTTTCTTTTTTAGATTTTCCAACTGCGTGCAATTGGGCTTCTTCTTTTAATAATATTTGATTGAAATAGTGTAGCTGAAGAAAAAAAAAAAGCTATGACTTCTCTTCCCACCCTGCCTTCCAGCTAAAAAGAATCTGCAGACCGTGAAACTGTAAGTGTCTGTCATTCTGGTGAAATGTGCATAGTGACCTATTCATTATGGATATTCCTGCCATTTGCAGTGTGGTGAACTTTGGACTTTTTCCAAATCGAGTCATTGTACGAACAATCTCTGCCCCTGTTTGACTGCAGAGCTCTGAGTCTGGCATCTGTTCCCATCGGATTGTATAATGTTGTGATGGAACATGTACAGAGGCCATACATATGGTGCTATTGATTGCAGTCAGCTAGGCCATCATCAGTGTTTGTGTTTTTTTTAATACTTTTAATCTTCATCCTCAAAGCTGCTCTATTGTCTCTCACATCTCCTGCTGTTTTTTCATAGAACCCTCTCTTTCAATTCATTGTGTTTTTCTCTCCACCATCCGCGCCTCCCTCCCTTTGTTGTATTGTTTTTCTTTCAACTCTTTTCTTTCCTCACATTACCTCATTTATTTTATTTTCCTATTTGCCACCTTTTTAAATGACCATTGTCCTCTTGCTTTTGTCCTCCCTCTGTTGTTGCTTCTCTCTCTTATCTCTCCCACCATTTTGCTTCTCCTCCATGTGGATCCCTTCTCATGCTCTTCCTTTAATTGTCTTTCCCTTTTTTAATTCCCGCCTCCCTCTTTACTCCACAGCATCGGCGGCTCCATCCCCATTGTGTTTTCCTATTACTCTGAGTTCCTGGCCCAGGAGAAGCGAGGAGAACATCTGAGCTGGCTCTGCATGTTCTGGATGATCGGTGGTATCTACGCCTCCGCCATGGCCTGGGCCATCATCCCACACTACGGTATGAAAAACAAACGGATCACTCGGTCAGGAAATCATTTTCCAAGGCAATATGTGCGCTGAACGCCTGTTAGTTAATGTGTCACTTAGCTAAACAGTCATTTTAACTCTTTTCTGCAGAGATGAGATGCCATGTTTGTTTCCATTTGACAGTGGTGGAAAGTAAATACAGGAAATGGAAAATGAAAATGAATAACTTTATTTTTGTGTCAAGCCCAGAATTTTGACATTCCTCAATCTTTTTCAACCATACTGATATTTCTCTAGCAGTAAAATAGTGTTTGAAAGAAGAGCAACGTAACCAACCAAATGGAGCACTTATGGCAAATCACTGCAATGCTACAGCCAGAGCAGTACAGTATCAATGGAGGAAGCTTCTCGTGCACACAATTCAAGTCTTGCAGCTGCTTGTAGACCTCCCCTCCCCCGCTCACTATCTCTTTCTGTCTCTCTCTCTCTCTCTCGCCATTCAGGCTGGAGTTTCCAGATGGGCTCGGCCTACCAATTCCACAGCTGGCGCGTCTTTGTGATGGTGTGTGCCTTACCCTCTGTGGCGGCCATCTCTGCCCTCACCACCATGCCCGAGAGCCCTCGCTTCTACCTGGAGGTCAGCCCGTCAGTGCTCCCCACGTTCAGTGGAAAAAAAAAAAAAAATTATATATATATATATATACTGTAAAAAGATATTCAAATATTGAGTGTGACTTAAGGTTTGGGAGCTTTCACCCTCCCTGTGGTTTCAGTACAACATGAGCACTGAATGTAAATTTGCTTTTGTTTCTCTCCTCCAGAATGGGAAACATGACGAGGCGTGGATGATTCTGAAGCAGGTCCACGACACCAACATGAGGGCCAAGGGTTACCCAGAGAGGGTCTTCTCTGTAAGTCACACTCAATAATTATATGCTTTCCACTTTTGTCTGTATGCAGGAGAAAATGTCTTCACACAGTGTGTGTGTGTGTCTGTCTGTCTGCAGGCTAATGCAGGTGCAGCAGGTTTTAAGCTCTGTGCTGCATAAATTTGCATATTAATTACGTTAAAACAGATTTTCTTTAAACTACTGTAATCTCTTAAGGCTTCAAGCCACACAGTACATATTAATACATAATGGAATATGGTGACAAAAATACTTTATAACCTCTTCCTACTCCATTATTATTACCATAACCAGTCATGTTTGATATATATCAGTGTTGATGGTGAGGCAGGCAGATCAGGTGCCTCTTATATTACGTGGAGCCTTTTCATTGTCTCAAAGGTTGTGTAATGGTACGGAAAGAACATTAATTCTACGGAGCATGAAATAGTGTTGTGTGTCTGTCGCATGCAGGGTATAAAGAAAAGCATGTGTTGAGTTTGTGCCATCTAGAAGAACACATTTAACAATCGCTAAACGCATTAATGAAATCCAAATATTGAATGATTGTGCTGTTGCTTCCAGGTGACCACCATCAAAACAGTGAAGCCGATGGATGACCTGGTGAACTTGGGAGACGGTGCCGCCTGGCATCAGAAATGGAGGATCAAGCTCACTACACTTTTCCATCAGGTGACAGTTTATTTTTTATGTTTTATTTTACTGCTTTTTATTTAGGAATATTTGGTAATCTTCTAAGACATTTTTATGCCTCCGTGCCCGCAGCAGCCGTGGCCATAGCCTTCCACAAAGCTTGAATGCTTTCATTGGAAAGAATTCAGCAGCTTATTTCTTCTTTCTGATGTAAAAATAACCAGGAATCCAGAATATGTCCCATCTTAAAGGAAAAAATACTTCTGATGAATTAGATGAGAAGATCGATACCATTATTGTATCTTAAATAAATATTAATATGGTAACTAAGCCAGGAAGCAATAAGCCTGTCTTAGCCTAAAATCTAGAATCATTGGGGACACAGCTAGTCTGGCTGTATCAAAAAATACCTCGAACCGTAAAGCTCCCCTATGAACAGCTATCCTGATTGTTTTATCTGTAAACAAGCAGGATGGTACAAATGAAAAGTTGTGGTTTTACGGGGAGTATTTCTTGGTGACCAGCGGCCCGTTGAAGTGACTTCCTGCAGTCTTGATATCACCATGAGACCAAGACAAGAGTGGAGACCAAAAACAATGCCTTTTTATTTTTATGTTTCTGTACATATTAAAAAATATGATACAACATTGTTTCGCGTTAGTGTGCTTTGGAGAGAGCCGGGCTGTTTCCCCCTGCTTTCAATGTTTATGCCAAACTAGGCTAACTGTCTCCTGGCTCTAGCTTTAGGACAGTGGTGTCAATCTTCTCATCTAAGTCTTTGCAAGAGAGTGAATGAGCATATTCCCCAAAATGTTGAACTATTCCTTTAAAATGGGGTGTGTCATCACGGTGCACCATCAAGAACAGGTATTATGATGAAGGGAATCAGCGTTATTATTTTAACCAGTGTTAAATAAAATGTAATTTATAAGCGCATTCAAAAAAAAAAACTAAAATATATATCAGTCAGAATTTGTTTACTCGAAGCGTGGAAAGGGATTCTGGGACATGGTGTTTATTTCCTGCAGCCGATGGAAAGAAACTAGTTTTCAGAGACGTCCCGTGTATATGTATTTTTTATCTGATTGTACAATATGTTTATTATCTGTCTTTCCCCCTTGTCCATGTGTGTGTGTCTGTGTTCCTTCAGGTGTGGCATAATTTCCAGGCTGTTTTCTCCCCCGAGTACCGCCGCACCACCTACATGATGATGGCCGTGTGGTTCTCTATGTCCTTCAGGTAAGATGAGGTTGAAGAACGTTGCTCTTCTGCAGGTATTTCTGGGACTTATTGAGACATTTACCAGCTAGTGGCTAGAGTCGTACTCGGCAGTATTGTGTTGTTGTCTGTTGGCCAAACAGCTTGCTGTCATACAGCTATGGGCGATCTGAATGCAGAGGAAGCGCGCATTTGTTCAACATTATCTCAAGCCTAAATGACATGACCAGGCTGTGTCAATACAGCTGATACACAAGAGTGTCTGTCTTGGTAGGTCAGAATAACATAAGTAAACAGAAGAGAAGCAAAAGTACAAAAGATTCAAATGGAAGCTTTTGAAACTTGCAGTGGGGGAAGAAGTTTTTAGATCCTGTACTTGAGTAAAAGTAGGAATCTCACAATGTAAAAATACTCCATTATATTTAAAATTTAACATATGTAAAAGTATAGAAGTATTATCGTCAAAATATATTAAAGGAATAAATTATTGTCATACAGAAAAATGCTCCCCGTGAGTGATATTTTATACCCCCTGTTTGCAGTCTGTGTGCTAAGCTAAGCTAACCGGCTGCTGTCTGTAGCTTCATATTTAATGGACTTGTATGGGAGCGGTGTTGATCTGCTCATCTAACTCTGCCAGGGAGCAAATAAGTATATATCCGAAATTGTTGACCTATTCCTTTAAATACAGTACATGAGTAAATGTACTTAGTTCAGTACCCTAGAAAAGAATTTCAGTTTTCTGAAGGGAAAACACAACATTATTGGATTTCCCTGACTTTTTTATATTTACAATCATCTTGGAAATCCCAGGATGTCAACATATATAAGACTAGTAGTACGCCATAGTGCACAGGCACAGTGTCACACATACAGTATATCTATGTCCCTGCAATATTCATGAACACAGCAACACTGCTCATGTGCCTCTTCGATCTTTTCTCAGCAGGCGTGTTAACAGTAGGTTTGTCTCCTTTGTGACAGCAGCACTCTCACTTTCTCCGTCTCTCTCCTCGTCCAGCTACTACGGTCTGACGGTGTGGTTCCCCGACATGATCAAGTACCTGCAGAAGCAGGAGTACGCCTCGCGCACCAGGTTTTTTGCCAAGGAGAAAGTCGAACACGTCACCTTTAACTTCACCCTGGAAAACCAGGTCCACCGGCAGGGAGAGTACTTCAACGACAAGTGAGTCAGCCGCATCCTCTCGTGAGCGTTGGCCTGTCGAATGAGGGCAGACTCTGTTTGAATTACATGATGGTCAGTTGCCTTTTATTCCAAGGTTGATTTTTATATTTGATAAATCCAATACCTGGTGGATGAATTTATTCACAAAGTGTAAATACTTTGTGGTGGATAAAAACCAATATGAATGCGGCTTCAGCAAAATGTTTTGTTCCAAGTATTGCTTTGATTGGATGAAGGTTCTGCGGACTTGTTCATGTTTAACAAGCCGGACTATGATGTTTCCTCAGACCTTGTCTTTTCGACCTGAACTCTGCATTAGATTTCAGTTGTTCAAATTCAAACGGAACCCCTCAATCTCTTTGCATCTTCCTTTCGTCTCCCTCAACTCCCCGCTCCCACGCTCCAGCTATTCATTGTCTCTATTTCTTGATCCCACAATCCCTGCGTGTGTTCGCTCGCAGGTTTATGAACCTGAAACTGAGATCCATGGTGTTTGAGGACTCGCTGTTTGAGGAGTGTTACTTTGAAGACATCACCTCCAGCAACACCTTCTTCAAGAACTGCACCTTCATCGCCACCCTCTTCTACAACACAGGTAGGATACTCACGCACGCGCACACACACACACACTAATATGGCGTAACTATTGCCATACATCAGTGAACACCAACAAAGAAATTATAATCAGCATTGACTATGTTTAGATGTACAAAATATTCTGCCCTTATTCCAAAAAAGACAATATTCCCACAAAGCTGGCTAATTAAAATCAATATTCTACTAATATTCCAGTTGAAAAGCAGCTGTTCATTCTCCGATTAATGTAACCAGTGGCAGACTTCCTCCACAGCATCCCTCTCTCAGTCCTTCAACCAACTTCTCGAAAAGGTTGGCGTTGCGATACTTGTGCATATCCAAAAACCTGTTGATGTCCAAGTCTTTCATAAGGTTTTAAAAAGTTGTTGGCTTTTCTTTTGGGCATGCATCGCTGCAAACTGATAGCTAGTTGGTTTGTGTAGAACAAGCACAGTTGACCGTAAGCAGGCAACAGGTTGTGTGTCGCAAAAGTCACATAAAACCCATTGAGACGTATATTGAAAATGCGCTGTATACATGTCCAAAGAATGCTCCTGAAACCCGGATACTATCGGCATATCCCACATGTCTTAATTGGAAAATGCTCCATTCGCAATAAGGCCTCATTCGGAATATCCAAACAGAAAATGCTGTTTACATGACCCATATCAAATTCAGAATATTGTCATATTCGGAATAATAGTGGAAATAAGTGTGCATGTAAACATAGTCATTGTTACAACACAGCCCGTAGGGCAGGTTGCAACCAAAATTTAAATTTTTATTGCAAAAATTTGACGCGAATTTCTGAATGAATGCATGACATCAACTTTCTATTTTAACTTAATTGTCGTCAAGGGAAATCTTGTCTTGCCGCCAGGTAAAACACACACAGATTTGAACACAAAACATAATGTAATACATAAAAAAGCAAAACATCAGGGTTGTCTTCAATCCACAAGATGTGCTGTGTGGATGTGGTGCTGTGCAGAGAAAGAAACCAAGTGTAAGCAAGCAAGCAGAGGAAGACAGAAGACTGGCCCTCCTGTCTCGGCCCCTCAGGCTCCTGCAGGGAGAGCTCATGTATTTGGGAATCCTGTCATCACAGTTTTTTCAGGAAAAGATTTTACCTTTTTTTTCCCACAACTTGCATCAGTTTGATACAAAATTAGTGAATAAATTCCATTTTGAAAATCTAAATGTGGTGTGAGCTGTGCATTGAACGTCCATTAGACCGCTGCTAATAAACTATCATACACCGTGAGTGTGATTTTGTCTTTCTCTTCTCTCTGTGTCCTTATCCTCTCTGTGCTATTTATAGTATTTTGAAAGATGTCCTTATAAGCAGAGCTATTGGCACAGTTTCACTCTTTGGTGTTAGCTGTCTACAAATGCAATCTTATCAAGTGTCGTCTAGTATCATGATTCTATTAAAACCTGTCAAATCTATTAGCAATAGAATAGCTCTGGACGTATTTTTGTATCTTTATAATATTCTGTTTTAGTAGACGCAGTATTTTCCTACTTTCCTTCTCCTGATGTGTAAAAGAAAAGCAAAATTAGCTCCAAGTGTTTGTCAAAATGGCTCAACTACTCTCCTCTTTCTCTCTCTGCGCTGGTTGACTGGCACTACACCAAATGCAGCATCGCAGGGCCGCAAAACGTCTCCTAGCAACCCAGGCTCAAGCCTCCATTATTTCAGCTTTAAAATTGAGCAGCCTGTCTCTCTTCTCAATGGTGTAGTCCACCATTGATTTTTCTCCACCGAAATGTCAACACAAGGTGTCAGATGTAGAAAGTGGATGAGAGTTGTGCCTTTTGTACATTTTAGAAAATGGGCCACTGTACCCTGTAGATTTAGCAGCTGAATCCACACACACGCAGACGCTGGCATACAATCGCTATTTCAGCCAGACCTTCCGCTGGGCTTTGTTAGGTGTTTACGGTCTTAACACGCGTCTAGCAATCACTCACTGCTGCTATCAGTGCCGGCCAGGAGTTGCTCATTAGAATGGGAATTAGAAACGTGTTTGCTTATTAATGCTTAATCTGTTCTTTGGGGCTCGGTGTTCAGAACTTAAGGCTGTTTGATAGTTGCCATAGTGCACCTTTATTGTCACAGTGCTACATGATGGGAACAAAATGCAAAATGCAGTTGGACTGTACAGGTGACATAATGTCTATATGCAATTAGCTGCAGGCTTAAAGGGCTGTTCTTCACAATGTATTAACTTATAGTGTTACTTCTGCCAGATGTCAGTAACTGGGAAGATGGCATTCACATTCATCTCGACTGCAATATTTGTAGATGCGTCCTATTAGTCCAAATAATTACTTATCTGCCAACTGAAAGATACAATTTTATTTACTATAGACCTTTTCAAACTTGATGACATAAAACAAATTTCTGATTTTGAGTTATTGAGTTGAAGAAAATGTTGCAGAGGCAGTTTAAAACAGCAGCGCGGCTTCTTGGCTTATCAGGCATGCAATAAAAATAATAAAGTAAAACAATAAAATCAATAAAAAAACAATGTTTGCGGGTTTTTTTCTTCAAATTGTTCAAAAATCCTGACTTTGACTATTGATAAAAGTGATAGTTCATATGATCGCAATCGGAGCAAATGCCGGGGCATTTTTCCATATCGTGGGGCTCATTAAATAATCTAACTTTACTTCCTGCAGATGTTGGGATGGATTAAAGCTACAAATGTTATAATGGGCATCCTTTTCCCCATCCTGTCAACAAGTTCACTAATCAACCCCTTCATTTCTGCTCGCTTTCTGTCTCCCGTCTCGCCGTCCTCTACACACCCCCACCCCTCCCCCCCATGTTCTCCCCAGATCTCTTCAAGTACAGGTTGGTCAACTGCAAGCTCATCAACAGCACCTTCCTGCACAACAAAGAAGGCTGCCTGCTCAGTGACGTCAGTGACGAGAACAACGCCTACATGGTCTACTTCGTCAGTTTCCTGGGCACCTTGGCCGTGTTGCCCGGCAACATTGTCTCCGCGTTGCTCATGGACAAGATTGGACGGCTGAGGATGCTAGGTAATGTGAGCGCAGGGCCACACTACCAGACACCATGTGTATTGAAAGAAAAGTAGAACGAGAGTTGAAGGAATACTTCACCCACTAAATGACCATATGTGTATCAATTACCCACCCTGTGTTACCTTGAATTTTTTAAGAAAACCTTTTCTCGCAACCTTTGTTGTTAAATGTGGTTAAATTAGCTTAAATTCATCAGGACGTTTCTCCGATTTTTGATTCTTGATTAACCGTGGAGGCATGTGAGAAAATCAAAAGTTTTCTTCAACAATTCGTGGTAACATGGGGTGAGTTCTTGATATACAAATGGTCGTTTTGTATTCCTTTTAAGTTTATGCATCAGTGGAAAATTGATGAAGGGACTTTTCTCATTTATTGCAATAGGCTAATGCTCATTTTCAGTTGCTATATGCAGGATTTCCTTCCTTTCTTCATACGTCACTCTTTCCCTCCACATTCCTCTTTCTCCCTTTGTCCACCTCCAGCGGGCTCCAGTGTGATCTCTTGCATCAGCTGTTTCTTCCTCTCCTTTGGCAACAGCGAGTCAGCCATGATTGCTCTGCTCTGCCTGTTCGGGGGAATCAGCATCGCTTCCTGGAACGCCCTGGATGTGCTTACCGTCGAGCTCTACCCCTCTGACAAGAGGTAAGCATGTTAGGCATGCCCTGAAACCGCCTTGACACCGTGAAGACATAGTCAGTGGTTCTGAATGACGTGTCAGATGATGTCATAGGAGTTGCCCGACAGTGACTGGTTGGCTTACAGGGATGGATGACATTGTGGGGTGAAATCATTGGTGGTGCATTTGATCTAAAGCACCCAGTTATCTTGTTGCCACCTAATGGCTTAAATAGGATGCGCCCCTAATGCGGTGCAACCTCTATGCAACCTCATATAAGATATGAGTATTTGTGGAACATAATTCAAGCATTTTAGCAAACCAAGAACATGATTCCTTTGTGTTGCCCCTCTTGAACTTTTCAGTTCTCATTTTAGAAGATGTAGCTCCATCTTCTGGATATATAGAGTGCTTGCAGCCGTTACTATGAATTAGCCGTAAACGCAGACTCACCTTAACTGTTAATATCAGAAAGAAAATGTCTGTATTTGGGATACAAAGTGAAAGATGAATTTTCTATTGCTCTATAAGTCCACTTTGGTTGTTTTTTATTCCTTCTTGATACATTATCAAACAGACAATAACCTGACTCTTTACTCTTCATCTGCCCCCTCTCTTTTCTCAGAACCACGGCGTTTGGCTTCCTCAACGCCCTCTGTAAATTAGCGGCTGTTTTAGGCATAAGCATCTTTACCTCCTTCGTTGGTATCACCAAGGCTGTGCCCATCATGTTTGCCTCGGGGGCGCTGGCGGCGGGCAGCTTTCTTGCCCTCAAATTACCAGAGACGCGGGGTCAGGTGCTGAAATAGTGTGACGTCAACAACTTTCCGGAGGGAGGGGGCCAGAGGAGTTTTCACCACACTGTGAACGAACAGCTAAAGAGCCCTCCAAATCCTTCCCTCTAACCCCTCTCTCATAACGATAGAGAAAACGCAGAAGAGCGACGCAGATCTGCCGTAAATATTTGGAATTGGTGATTATTAGATAGGCCTGATTTAAAGGTTGAGCTGAGACAAAAGTAAAAGAGTAACAAAAGTGATATTAACCTGTTCAGTGAGAGCATGACATTTCAGCCCCCTGGAATATAATAGTAAATTTAGATGCGGTCCCCTAATATAAGTACATAAACCTGGGGTTCGAGGTCAGGGGATGGGGGTTCTTGATAATGAGCCATGCAAATAGACTAATAGAAATGACCACTAGCCATTGTTGCAGAGTTCCCTGTAGTCACCTCTATTCTTCTGAGCAAATTCAACTCACCATCAAGTCTTGAGTACTTCGCCATTGTTGGACATAGAATCAAAAATCAAAAATGCGACATTTTATACCTTGATTTTGCAGGGTAAAACCAAGAGACAACTCTCTTGGCAAAGACCTGTCCTCATTCTTTATCTCCTGAGGTCTTGTGTTGGTGATCAGACTAACTGCCATTTTATAGATTATAGAACATTCCAGGTTTGCTTTTGCTATTGTTAAGAGTGCGACGAGGAGATCAATCGAGCCCCATCTCCCTTTAAAGCGTTGTTTCCGATCACCTCCAAACAGCAGTGCGATCATTCAAACCAGTTAATGGAGACGTTCCCCATGCCAAGTGGAAATTGTGTGCTGTCATGATCACCATTTCCTCGCAAAGATTAAGCAGTTTGTTACATTTAAAGCACAACCATTTGCCGGTGTGAATGCCCCTAACATTTTCTTGACCTGATGAAAATGTTAAGATTCTCATACTCAGTCACCATTTTTCAATCATACTGTATATCCCTTTGTAAGAAATGCCTTTTTAGTACCTCTCCTCCCAGGCTTACAGTATGTTTGTCTCTAATGATATATGTTTTGGAGGGTGTTATGCATGTTACAAAGTATGTATGTATGTAAATTTGTGAAAACTGAGTACAACATGGAAACAGCGTAAGGGACAAGTTCGTTCATCCATTAGTCTGGCTCAAGTCCCCATAATATCTTTGACTTTTCCTGCACACAAAAGACAACACAGTGCTTTTATTCTGCTGTTGGCATAGCAGGGACACCATGAAAGTTGATGAACCCAAACTGTCCCTTAGAGCACATACTACAGGATGATCTCAAGATGAAAGTGTCCCTTTATTACCTTAAATCATACACACACGTGGAGGAAAAACAGGTAACCACAAGAGACAAAAAGGCTACTCTTTTAGTTTTAAAGGCTTCAGTGCAGGTGTGCGAGAGATGACGGATAAACTATAACCTAATCGTTTGTGTGAACTGAATGTTTCTATTAATGTGAGCGTGCTTCTTAGTGCAATATTGAACCTCCGTGCAATATTGGGATTTTAACTTATTTTTTAATGTCTTTTACCATTTCATATTTGGCAAGCAACTTTCTGATTTGTGAACGTTTGTGGGGTAGATGTATTTTATTGATAACTGAACATGGCAGGAAAACATACAGGACTTAAACTGTTTGTTTTTTTTTTGCTCTTGGATGAAGACAGGCTGATAAGTTATATTTTAGCATCAGTAGAGTCAACACAAAAATTGTTGGAAAATACTGCACCCAAAGTGGAGTTGTTTTATTTTAAATTCTCCTAATTTGGGATGTCCTTGGGGCACATACCATGTTGAACAGTGAGGATTAATTGGCAGTGGGAATTATTCTGCTAATGAGGGTCTGGATTTTGAGTGCATTTGAGACTTGTGTTTACTTGTGCTTTATTATACACATTTAGCTAGATATAAGACGAGAACCACCGTAGGGCTGATTTGTCATGTATCCCACACTGGTAACAGCACAGAGTGTTGGTGAATATTATCGCCACATTCCCCCCTGATCTAGAAAAGCAAGGGTGATGTGTTCACAATTGCTTGCTGAAAGAAAGAAGAAAAAAAATCATGAACATGTCAGATTAACAAAAACGTTTTTGCCCAAACTGCCATTTTGTAGGATAGCAGCCATACGTAGACTCAAGACAGTTGAATAAATAGACAACCCATTGCACTAAATGTACACCGTCGTACATGCACAATTGTGAAGGCCTTGAGTTCTTCAAGACGCAATCGGATGCCGCCTTGCTACTGATTTCATGGAGAACAAGGTGGGCGTTTAGCAAGAGCACAAAGACCAAAACCTACCAAGTGACAAGATCATGAACACGAGTGCAGTTGTGAACATAATATAGGCGCTTCGAGCTTTGAAGACACGCCCCTTTGAATATCGCTCCCTCCGCCTCACACTGATCCAACTCCAAATTCTACATCTGACCCATTATCTTTGTGTGTGCCATGAGTACCACCTCTCATTAATTATTGCCAAATATTTTGTATGGCCTGAGTTTATACATTACACCATCAATTGTCTGTAATATATATGAATATATGTAAATAGAAGTACTTATAATGTAACTAATACGATCTTCAAACCTTTTTACCCCCCCTGGAAATAGATTGCAGTCAGTGTTTGTAGGTCTTCAGCCAACTACTGGACTTATTATGGTGATGCAGACTTCTCACAAGAGTCCAGGTGTTTTCTCCTGTTTTGAAGCTGCAATAAATGATGGCTTCAGAAGCCAAAATGACCAACAAGTCAGGAAACAAAATTTGCCCAGATTCCCTCTCAAGAGCACAATAGTAGTATATAAATGGACATTAACTGTACTAAAAGCTGCGCGTCAGCGGTCCTATTCTCTGTATGTCGTCCTGTATCACCCATGAAATTTAAGAACAACGATGTCAAGATAACTGTTGTACTTGTTCAACATGGAATGCTGTTAAAGCACTAACCTGTCTCAGTGACTCGGTTCAGGCTCCGTCCAAGTTCAAATCGTCTCTCGTAGATACATATCTTAGCTTATGTTACAGGGTTTTTTTGTATAATTAACTTGTTGCCTGAGCAACGGTCAATCGTGAGTGCAAAAAGTTTAACAAAGCAATAAGTGTTTGGGTATTTGTCTTTTATTCTCTTCTTTGAAGCTATTGGGAATTGGAGGACATTACTATAAGCTGGCCTTGTCAACTAAAATGCTGTGTGTTGGCTTAATAATGACACAGGACTCTTAACAGCGAACATCCGTGTGTACTCTCTAAAACAGCCCGGAGTCTTGAGGCTTTTGTCAATAAGATTGCATTGCCATTAATTAAATGTAACAAGGAATTTATCACCTTTGTCATTGTACTGTGCTGTAGAAACTGTAGTTGATTGTTTGTGAGTATAGAAAATGTTTAAGGAACCATGAATATAACAAAAAGGTATAAAAAGAAGTGTAAATGAACAATGCTGTATGTTGTCTTTGATTTTGTGTATTTTGTAAATGAGAATGAAATATAAGTAAATACATCAATGTTAAATACCGGTTATGAATCATAGTTAGCCTAAATGTGACAACATCAGTTCTGTTAAAAGGTGTGAGATTTTTTCTTATATTTTCTCATTGTTGATTTTTGATTGGGTTTGCACTACGCTGTGCAACTGACCCCTTTGGAATCACAATGGATAACAAAGAACCATGAAATAAACAAAAAA